GTGCTTTAGGCTATACTTTATCCTCACCCTAAAGTAGCCTGTTTTTACTGTAAGTTATGTTGAATTTAGCATCCTTTTTTTTTTTCTTTCTAAATTTGGTGAAAAGCAACATTAGTACGATCACAAACAAGCTGCTTAGCTGGGAACTCTAATCCATTCTGAAAAAATCCAGGCAGATAAGTGTCCTAGAATATTAACTGACACTGCCAAGATGGAGCCATGTCTAACCCCGAACTGTGTGTATTTATACAAAACTGTCAGAGCTTCATGAGCTATTTTCTTCGAAAGTCCCATTTTCCCATAAAAGCAAGAATTCAAAGTTTATTACTAGAACTACTTGTTCTACTGAGTAGAAAATTCTTCTGTTTCCAAATATAATGAAGAACATCAAGAATTACAAGTAGAATTGAGTCAGTAAATGACAGCTTGTGGAGAACGACATTTTCATCTATTAAGACAATTACTGATGAATGTGAAGATGAATATGTAACTTAAGTAGATGGATATTTCTTCAGGCATTCAGACTCCTGAGATAATTTTAAAGCAGCAATTTTCAAGCTTCTTCACCCTCAGGACAATTACTGAAAAAATCTGGGAAATATTCAAACTCCATGTCTCTTTTATAAGTTAGAAGTTGGCAGGATTTCCAAAGAGATGAAATATTTCTTTATTTTTTAACGGACTACATTGTTAGATGTATTATATCACAGAACTGTTAAACTTCAGAGCCAGCTGGGACTACAGTGCTTCAATTGGGGGATCAAAATGTGGCTGTAACTAACAAGAAGGGCATCTATCTAGGGGTCTGTAAGCCCTTCTCTATGGCCAGACAACTACAGGGCACTTCATGGTAACTAAACCATGGACCCTACTATGTGGTATGAAATATCACCTTTTACTTGCAATAATGACCAATGCCACTGTCATAATGCCCTGGCCTCAGGACCATGGAGGAGAGAGGAGAGAGCTGGGAACGGGCAGGGATGAAGCTAAAGGCAGGCCCCAAGTGGCCTCAGTGCCTGGGCCATCAAGAGGCAGAGAGTTCCTGCCCTGCCTTCTGCTGGAACTTCTGGGAAAAAAGGAGCGTTCCTTCCACAAGGTGAAGATATGAGTCTAGGGCTGTCAGCTGGAAAAATTGCCTAAAAAAATAAAGAATCCAAGAGGACACAACTAGATGATGAAAACAGATTTGGACAGAAACCCAATTTCGTCAAGAAGCAAGTTTGACCCCTGATGACTTTTAGTTTTGAAGCAATACTTTGTGCTTAATCCAGTGTGAATAGGGTTCTAAGTGAATGAGTCCTGAATAATACACAATGATTAAGAAAATTCTCTCTTTTCACACTGAAAACATTAGCTCTCTGGCATTTTGCTCATTTAGCGGCTAAGCCGTGTCTGACTCCTTTGCAACCTCACGGACTAAACCCTGCCAGGCTCCTGCCAGTATTTTCACTGGAGTGGGTTGCCATTTCCTTCTCCAAGGGGTCTCCCTGACCCAGGGATTCAAATCCCCATCTCCTGCCTTAGCAGGCAGATTCTTTACCACTGAGTCACCAGGGAAGCCCATTTTAATGAGGGCAAATAAATTTGGGGGGAGGCAGATGGAGAGGAGAATAAAGGCTGGAATGCATGAGTCATGTTTTTTTGTTCAGCCAGCCCAATACTTTAACAGCTCTTTTAAATACTTAAAAAACTAACACATAGGAACTGTATAACTATAGACATATATATAAAATAAAACAAATAACCTGTTATTACAGTAGTTCCAGGAAAGAATGGGTGAGGCACAATAAGCAGGTTTAGCACTGGCTAGTTTGAAGAGTTTCCATGATGAATGATGATGTCTGAACAACTGCTAGGGTGTAGGGGCTGTCTTAAATTGTCTGGCCCTGGAGGGTTACAGGAGTGTTGTCCCTGAAAGTAAGAGCTCCACAGAGGAGGAGGTTAGGGTGTGGGCTCTGGGTTGGCTGGTCTGTATACAGAGGCATGAGCATAGGTGAGTCATGGACTATCTCTAGGAACTGGCTGATGCTGGGAGGGGCAATCCTTCCAGCATTAGCAAGGCCCCAAGATGTCAAAACTTCAGAAACACATGGTTAATACACTTATATTATCCCATTAACACTTTACCCATGTGCTATTTTCTTGTTAATGTATTTATGTTCTGTTTATTTTCTATTAGTCCCACTGGAATGTAAGCTCCTTAAGGCAGGGTAATTATCTGCCATCCAGTTCCAGTGAAGTCACTCAACCGTGTCCGACTCTTTGCCACCCGTGGACTGTAGCCTACCAGGCTCCTCCCTCTGTGGGGTTCTCCAGGCAAGAATACTGGAGTGGGTTGCCATTTCCTTCTCCAGGGGATCTTCCCTACCCAGGGATTGAACCCAGGTCTCCAGCACTGTAGGCAGACACTTTGCCATCTGAGCCACCAGGAAAGTCCACCATCTGCCATATTCACTGCTCATTCCCAGCACCTACAACCGTAGGTGATGCTTGATTCATGTGCACTGAAGGAATGAATGAATTTCTCTTCCTGGAACTGCTATTTCTGTCCTTTGCCCATTTTCCTGTTTATCAATGGCTTGTACTTTTCTTCTTGCTTTGCACTTTAACGAATACAAAGATGAAAGCTTGGTCAGTTATGTGTTCTGCAATTTTTTTCCAGTTTCTCTTTGATGCTCATAAAGAAGTTTTAATTTTTATTTTCATGTAGTCTCAAAGTTATCAATATTGTTCTTTATGGCTTCTGAGTTTTAGGTCAAGCGTCTGTAGCTCAATATGATAAAAAAACAGCATGATATTTTAGTGTTTCATTATAATTAATCTTTAGGACAACTAGAAATGATTTTGTATGGAGAAATAAGGTGGAGATCTACTTTTTCCTAAATTACTAGCACTAGTTATTCCAATCTACATTCCCCACTGGTATAAAATACTTTCTTTAACATATACCAAATTGTATATGCATGTGTGCGTATGTATGTGTGTATTCCTATACACACACACGTTTATAAACCCAGGTCTCCCACATTGTAGGCAGATTCTTTACTAGCTGAGTACAAGGGAAATCCAAGAATACTGGAGTGAGTAGCCTATCCCTTCTCCAGCAGATCTTCCCGACCCAGGAATTGAACTGGGGTCTCCTGCATTGCATGAGGATATAAATAGGGAGGGCCATATTTTTTCTGAACTCTCTATGACCCCTGACTAGTCTTGTATCAATATCACATATTACCTAAATCACTATGAACTAGTAGCCTCTATTCTAACTAACAAGAGACAGGCCACACTCTATTATCAGATCATTAAAGGGGCGAGTTTTGCAGCTAACGTGAACAGCTGTAACAAAATACAAAAATACCTGTGAAGGGGAAATAAAATTACCAATGTGTAACCCCCCAAACGCATGAAATCAAACAGATACTCCATCAATATAGCCCTTGTGATAGAGCAAAAGAGTTCAATCATTTGGTTTAAATCACTTTATCTTAAAAAAAAAAAGCAAAATAGGACCTGCCACATCTGTCTCCTCTCTCTTTGGAGCCGAAGGTGACACTACCAACCTATGCCAGCCTCAGGGCCAAAGTGAGCTACACCAGAGGGCCAGGGGATGGGTCCCCCCAGCTACAGGGGGGTCAGGGTCACTTGTCTTCATCATTTCTGACCATCTCAAAACGGACAGCTATAGGATGTAAATGTTGGTTTGGTTATGGAAGGCTTCCCTCTCCTTCTCTTCATTCTATTCACAGAATTTAATCTTGCAGACTAAAATACAGAGAAGCTGAGTCTATGCCAGGCATCAAACCTCTCTGTCCGGAGTCTTTCCATCCCCACCCACAAATGCGTGCTCACACTGAGGCCTGACCACCTTCCATCAACTTCTCCGCTTCTAACACCTATGTCAGGTATCAGCCCAACTTCTGGAAGGCCCTACCCACCATGACCCTTTGTCAGTTTCAAGCATCACTTGGAGGACAATTTTCAAGAATCTAGGGGAAGGAAGAGGGAGCTTCCTGACACCCTCTGTGCTGTTTGTTGTTTCAGGAATGAGTGCTTCAGCCACGACCGTGTGACCATCTGCATAGGAAACAACGGTGGTGATCTCTTATCAGCGGGAGCTATGACTTGATTGCCTTCAGCAACTGGCACTGAAATATTAAAGGAGTCAGGGCACACACGGCGCATGGAACAGTGGCTGGTCCCGCAAGTGCTCAACACTCAAGAGTTCGTCAATATTCTTGCCAGTTCTCCATGATTCTCGTCAAGTCTATGGTCATGTGACACACGGTCCTGGCGCGTTTGAATGAAGCTGACAGGTCCCAGTGGATATGAGAGAACCCATCAGTCCTCAGTGCATAGATTACGGGTCAGAGTTACTATCAAGACAAGTCATAGCAATTTCCCTGGTGGTCCAGTGGCTAAGACTCCACCCTTCCAATGCAGGGGTCCCTGGTTCGATCCTTGGTCAGGGAACTAGATTCCACATGCCACAACTAAGACTCATCACAGCCAAATAAATAAATAAAAATATTTTTAAAAGACCAAACTCATAAAACAATATAAATGTCTCTCAGCATCCATGATCCTGGCACATTGAAGAGTTCTCCGTGTGTTGTCTTATTTACTTTTAACCTTTCAACGAAACTGTGAACCTCTGAATCAGAATGAACCAGAAAAACGACAAACTAAACCTCATTTTACTTTCCACCTAATGATAAACTGAATACAAAGACTTTTATACATAGTAGGCTCAGTTCAAACCAGTTCCTAATATCTATACTTTTGTAAGAAAACCACTTCATATATGCTTTTAACTGAGTTTTCTGTTCAAATATACTTTAAATTGTAGATGAGGGGTGAGAGAGAAGTGAAACCTCTTTATGAAGCAAGCTGTCAAACTGCCACGAGGAGAAATAAGCTATTAAAGAGTATACTTTATTTAGTTAATGAGCCTATATAACCAACTAACAGATCAAGAAATTAAGCTTCATTTGAAAGGGGAGGGGGTGGGGAGGGGAAGAGAATTGAGTGAGTGATGCAAGTTGGTTGCCAGGGAAACGTCCTCTGTGAAAAAACAGTCACCCCACAGGGTGGTCATAATTTTTCTTCTTTTCAGTTTAATCCAAGTTGTCGGAAGCAGGAAGTCAAATGGGGGACGTTAATCTCTCTCCTCTAAGATGGCTGAGAAGGGAACTCTGTGCTTCTTTTCTAAGAAGCATAAACAGTCTTCTAAAAAATCTGAAAGAATATAACTCATTACCCAGACATCTGAGGATAAGCTGAAGCTGTAAGTGTTTCAGAAATTAAAGGAATTCTAGGCCCTTGAAGGATCTATATCATCTCACTGACTTGTGACCAAGGAATTCTAGATAAGTTTTCTACCCAAACGTGGCAGGGGAAAGACTGCCAATATCGTAACAGTAACATTAGGGCATCATATTCTATTGACTTGGTTGTAATTCTTAAAATCTTTCGTTCCATAATTTATCTTCAAGAAGCTAAACAGGGGTTGGTAATTAGTGACTAGTTTGCATTTCTTCTTTTTTTTTTTTCAGTATATTTTCTTTATTATTAGTGAGTCCAGAGCCGTGTATTTTTGGCTGTCTGGGCAGAGCATAAAATATATTGCCGATCACACTCAAATTCAACGCTAGTAATAATCTATAGTCTTCTTTCTGGAACCACTCATATCAGGAGATGGCGACCCTCCAGATTTTCTAAAATTGCTGTAGGAAAGCTGTAGGTCCAGAAGCGTCATTCTTTTCTCCGTGCCAAATTAGGTCAAGTGCCATTGAGAAAAATGTTTCACTTCAAAGTTAAAAATAAAAACATTGTTTTTAGTTATTAGAAATTAAGAATTACAAGTGTAGTCAGAAATGAACAAAAATGCAACCACTGGGCTTTCCCCGTACAAAACTGTGATGGGGCATGAGGTTTCTAACCCCTGGAATAGAATACTTTCCTCTTGAGACAGTCATTTATACATCAGGAAAGCAACAGAAGAGTTCTTTCTCCCGTGTGTGTGTGTGTGTGCGCGTGCGCGTGTGTAACTCTTCCCCAAATCCTCTGTTGGGAACATGGTCTCTTTAAACTGGACCACTCTCGGCAATCACCACCTGGGGTCAGGCTATCAAGGTTATAAATGAAACTTATAACTGTAAGGGAGTCTTAACCCCACCTGGAGCAAACCCTTGCGGGATGCTCTTCTACATCCCAGGTACCCAGACAAATGAGGCCCTGGAGGTTCCTAGGGCTAGCTGTTCTACATCCTCCAAATCCTCTCCACAGCATATTTACCTTAACTTACTAAGATGTTTTTCTTCTTTTGTCTGAGAAAATCCCCCTGTTGCTGTCATTTAAACCTGCTCCTTTCAGCTCTGTCTTCTGCAGAGATGGGAAGTAGTTAGGTTGGAGCCTCCTAATAATACCTTCAGAGACGTGACCACTATCTCGGAAGCACCATATGCCTCTGACTGCAAAGCACAGCGCTGCCTCCGTTCCCGGTCACGTGGGGGAGTGAAGGTCTCCCAGTCATCCTTCTGAAACCAGCAGGGAGCGAATGGTTACAGGGGTCACACTTTCCACTCACGAGCAAAGAAAAGCAAATGGACCACATGGGCCAAGGACAAGAGAACCAGCTAATTAAGCTCTACCACAATCCCATGGCCTGCACTGCTGCTGCGGCTGCTGCTAAGTCGCTTCAGTCGTGTCCGACCCTGTGAGACCCCATAGACGGCAGCCCACCAGGCTCCCCCGTCCCTGGGATTCTCCAGGCAAGAACACTGGAGTGGGTGGCCATTTCCTTCTCCAATGCAGTTAAGTGAAAGGGAAGTCGCTTAGTCATCCGACTCCTAGCGACCCCATGGACTGCAGCCTACCAGGCTCTTCCATCCATGGGATTTTCCAGGCAAGAGTACTGGAGTGGCTTGCCATTGCCTTCTCCTGCATTTATTCTTATTTCAATCAATTATTACTTTTTTAAGGATGAAAGCAGACGTGTGTGGCCAGAAGCCCTCACACTATGAACGAGTCACTCACACCAAATGAAGTTTTATCAACTGACCCACAGGCCACTCATCCACCTCGTGCCAGGCCTGGAAAGAACCAAACGGCCCCTAGAAGGCTACTCTGGAAAACAAGAGGACATATGTCACAACGGTTTTTTCCTAACCTTACAAAACAGAATTAGAACGCGAAAATACTTTCTCAGCAGAGCCTGGGTTGAAATGGTATTTCATTCATCTTAGTCCTGGCCGATTTTCATCTGGTCCAATTTCTGGGAGGCACAGATGATCTGTTTTCAAGCAACTTTAACATATCAGACACCTGAATATATATAGGTCATTAATCAAATGTATTTTCAGCCATGCTTAAAGTCACAGAAGTCTCAAAATCAGAAGAACTGAGACGAGACATACTGTTCCTGGGCTTACTAGCCTAGATGTTCCTGAGACAGTGTCAGGGAAGAACATGAGGATAATTGGCAGAGAAGCACAATTTGTTACAGCCACACAGATCTTCAATGGGAAAGCCAAGCTTCCTGGTTATCACAGTCCTCAGCAGCTTATTAACTTCAATGCACTGCCCCCCACCCCCGCTTTTTTAAAAATTTATCTCCAGAATATGGAGAAGGGGTCTTTATTTCAGTCTACCACTCGCTCTCTTGCTTGCACTATGGCCAAGGATGCCTCCTGTTCTAGGCTGAGGTCTAAGCCCTTTGGTTTGGAAACTCCTGTGCTGTACACACACAGAGGCCTTCAGTTTGATTTAGTGATGTGATCACAAGAAAATAAAATTCTGCTAAGACTGAGTCACCAGTCCTGGTCATCCATCAATCATTTTACATTACAACAAAATGAGAAGCTCATCAACTCACAAAGGTTCTATAATCATATATTAAAGTCATGATGGAAATTAAACAGCATCTTTAATCTACTGCAAATGTAAAATCCAGTAGGGAGAGAACAGATGTAAATATTTCTGGTATATAATTCTGGAAGCACAATACAGGCAGCACTGTGTTGAAAGGCTCTTTGTCACAATAGATGGTACGATATGTTTTTTCCTGAGCATAGACTCAATAAATCAGAGGGAATGGCTGACCCTGTATCAACATGAATTGCTCAGTGACATTATTAAAGACCCAAATCATTAAGGACTCAGTTCGACAGTTGATATTAAAAATGAATCTGTTGTGAAAATGTACCCTATCAGACCTTTCCTCATTTAGAGTCCGATATTATTTGTCAATGTAACTGCCTCTCTCTTAATCACATCTTCACAGTGGAAGATTTAGGCTCTGATTAGGCTTAAAAAAAATGGAATTCTGTGTCATATTGACAACTGATTCTCAATGCCTCAAAAATTATTGGTGGAAGCAAAATAATTACTATTGCAGGCTGGCAGTGAAAGATCCAGCGGTGGAAAGACCCAAAGGGTCTTAATGATCAGATAAGTGAATTACAATAAAGTCTTAAAACCTTGGGGTCCCTTAATTTAAAAAAAAAAAATGGTTTAAGAAAAGAAATTCAAATAGTATAAAAGGGTATATATTAAATATAAGTTTTCTTCCTATTCTAAATATGAATGCTTTCCTCCAAGAATCAACTCTGAGCAGTTTTCTCAATATTCCTCTAGACACTCTCTGTATATATAAGCATACATGTGCCTGTATAACCTATATAACCTTATTTAAAAACACAGGTATGAATACATGCTACAGGGACTTCCTGGTGGTCCAGTGGTTAAGAACCCACACTTCTACTGCAGAGGGCTCAGGTTTGATCCCTGGCCAGGAAACTAAGATCCCACATGTGGTGTGGTGTGGCCCAAAGATTTTTTTTTTTTTAATGCACATGCTACATAATATTATGCACAGTGCTTATTAAAACCACCCATGTAAGCACTTAATGTGCTTTGGATGGCATCATCGACACAACGGGCATGGGTTTGGGTGGACTCCGGGAGTTGGTGATGGACAGGGAGGCCTGAAGTGCTATGGTTCATGGGGTTGCAAAGAGTCAGACACGGCCGAGGGACTGAACTGAACTGAAGCACTTAATGAAGTAAGCTTATCCAGGGCATAATATTTCCATGTACGATATGGTATAAATGGAACTCTCAATGTGGAAACAATGTTAATTTCTAGATGCTCCCCGAGCATCTAGAAGCTTAGAATCAAGATGTCCCTGTGCAACTGTGTTGTTTTATTTACAGATGCCACTGCGGAGGTCTGACTGCTACTCACTGCTACCTGCTGTAGTCCAACCCAGAAAACTGTTTCCTCCTCTGCACAGAATGCATCAACTCTCTGGGTCATACGCAGAGTGAGTGGCGTGCTATAGCTGGGAGATGGATGGAATAAAATAAAATACAATTGAAGGGCCCTCAAAATCTCCTGCAAAACTTCCCTGAAGTGTCCAAAATTCCCGCTACTGTTCGTTCAGTTGTCCTCAAGATGCAAGTCCACCCACCTCCAGGTACTTACCCACCCCTAATCTCCCATGTTTCCACCATTCAGAAACGCCATCTCCTCTAACAAGCCAGGGATGACTGAGAACAGGAGATAGTGAGTCACACAGAGAGGGGCTGGGAGTGGCTTTTCTGAATATAAATATGCATAATTCAGTGGATAGAAAACTATTCCTGGAATCAGATGATGAGCTGCTCAGCCTCTTCATAAGGGGCCAGGATCAATTTACTTAGTTAAGCAAACTGCTCTTGGGAAGACAGATATTTGAGCAAAGTTAAACAGTCATTTCATAGGAAATAGATGGGGAAACCGTGGAAACAGTGTCAGACTTTATTTTTTGGGCTCCAAAATCACCACAGATGGTAATTTGCAGCCATGAAATGAAAAGATGCTTACTCCTTGGAAGGAAAGTTATGACCAACCTAGATAGCATATTAAAAAGCAGAGACATTACTTTGTTAACAAAGGTCCGTCTAGTCAAGGCTATGGTTTTTCCAGTGATCATGTACGGATGTGAGAGTTGGACTATAAAGAAAGCTGAGCGCCGAAGAATTGATGCTCTTGAACTGTGGTGCTGGAGAAGACTTGAGAGTCCCTTGGACCGCAAGGAGATCCAACCGGTCCATCCTAAAGGAGATCAGTCCTGAGTGTTCATTGGAAGGACTGATGCTAAAGCTGAAACTCCAATACTCTGGCCACTTCATGCTAAGAGATGACTCATTGGAAAAGACCCTGATGCTGGGAGGGATTGGGGGCAGGAGAAGAAGGGGATGACAGAGGACAAGATGCTGCATGGCATCACCAACTCAGTGGACATGAGTTTGAGTAAACTCCGGGAGTTGGTGATGGACAGGGAGGCCTGGCGTACTGCGATTCACTGGGGTCGCAAAGAGTTGGACACGACTGAGTGACTGAACTGAACTGAAACAGTCATTTAAACATGATTTTAGAACAATTCCATTATTTGCATGTACTTTAGTTTTTAGATACATGAACTAACAAATTCCAACTCTACTCAGGAATGGCTAAAAGATTTAGCCACCCCCTTCAAGGACCTTTATCAAGGGTTTATAAACCAAAATAGCTGGAGTCCTTTCTTCCAAATAACTTGGCATCAATCGGCAGGAAATATTCCGGTTGGGACTGCTTCTGAAATGCTCACTTCCTCTGCATTGACCGCATATCTGACCCAACACACTTTCTCCCCCACTCCCCATCCCATCTGACCCTACAGAGATGCTGTTCAGACAGATGTTACCGATCCATTGAAATCCCCTGCTGACTCAAGGAACTCCACTTTATTCCAAGAGAATGACAGTTTCTTAAAACTTTAAGATGTTAGAAAACACTTCCTGCCGCATCCTAGTCCCTGAATGCGAGCCCCGCTGCCTACTCATAAGCCTTACAAACTGGGCTCTGTGGTTAGTATACTAGTGATGTCTACGTACATCATGCTCTCGCAGACAAGAAATTCCCCTTCTTTAATGATGCACTTTTCTTAGGCTTCATTCGTATGTTTTAAAGGCATCAGATGTCACATCTGTATGCAATGCAACTTCATCCCTATTTTAGAGAGCACTCCCGCAACCATTATGAGTGGAAACACCATGTGCAGCTGCCCTGAAATGTTTTCAATCTCGTGCTTGTCACTAGGGGGTCTGAATAAATGGTTACTGAGGGGTGATGAAAAGAAAGGTATGTTGAATGCAAATGCATATGGACACATTAGCCTATTAGGGTGTTATACAAAATAATCCCTAGATTCCTAAATTCATGTGCTTAACAATCATTTTATGAATAATGATTTACTTAATAATCATTAATAATTTACTCAATATCAATAATCAGAAAAAATTTACTTAATAATCAATTATGAATCTTTTAGGTTCCAGGCATTGGGATAAATCTTGAGAATGTACAAATAAGACAATGTTTCAAGGGAGCTTTCAGTTAGAAGAGACACATGTGTGAGCAAGTTAAGAGCAAAAAGAGTGCAATGAAATCACTTATGGGACAGTGGGAAAAGACAGGAAGGACTGGTGTAATTCCTAGAGAGAAAGCAGATTAGAAAGAGAATTGCAGCAAGAACTACTGAATTACTTAGGAACCAACCATCCTATTCAGAGAGTAAAAGAAGCCACTGAAGTAAATAAAATGATTTCTGAATTTTTTATTTATGGACTGAAAACTGGCTTACCACATTGGTAGGTCGATTAAAAAGAATTTTGTTTAATAACTATCTTCAAAAAGAAACTTATTTCCAAGAAATAAGACAACTTATATCCACATATATTACATTAAAAAAAAAAACTTCTTTCTGATGACTATATGAATATCAGAAAATAATGTAAGCAGAATAAATACTTTTGGAACATAGTCACCTATTTTGATTAATTTTTAATTCACATCCCTCTTTAAATCCATATCTAAAGCAATACATGAACCGTGAACTTCCAGATGTTCAAACTGGTTTTAGAAAAGGCAGAGGAAGCAGAGATCAAATTGCCAACATCTGATGGATCATTGAAAAAGCAAGAGAGTTCCAGAAAAACATCTATTCCTGCTTTATTGACTATGCCAAAGCCTTTCACTGTGTGGATCACAATAAACTGTGGAAGATTCTGAAAGAGGTGGGAATACCAGATCACTTGACCTGCCTCTTGAGAAACCTGTATGCAGGTCAGGAAGCAACAGTTAGAACTGGACACGGAACAATAGACTGGTTCCAAATAGGAAAGGGAGTATGTCAAGGCTGTATATTGTCACCCTGCTTATTTAACTTTTATGCAGAGTACATCATGAGAAACCCTGGGCTGGAGGAAGCACAAGCTGGAACCAAGATTGCCGGGAGAAATATCAATAACCTCAGATATGCAGATGATACCACCCTTATGGCAGAAAGTGAAGAAGAACTAAAAAGCCTCTTGATGTAAAGAGGAGAGTGAAAAAGTTGGCTTAAAGCTCAACATTCAGAAAACTAAGATCATGGCATCTGGTCCCATCACTTCATGGCAAATAGATGGCGAAACAGTGGAAACAGTGTCAGACTTTATTTTGGGGGGCTCCAAAATCACTGCAGATGGTGATTGCAGCCATGAAATTAAAAGACGCTTACTCCTTGGAAGGAAAGTTATGAGCAACCTAGATAGCATATGAAAAAGCAGAGACATGACTTTGTCAACAAAGGTCTGTCTAGTCAAGGCTATGGTTTTTCCAGTGGTCACGTATGGATGTGGGAGTTGGACTGTGAAGAAAGCTGAGTGCTGGTGCTTTTGAACTGTGGTGTTGGAGAAGACTCTTGAGAGTCCCTTGGACCGCAAGGAGATCCAACCAGTCCATCTTAAAGGAGATCAGTCCTGAGTGTTCACTGGTAGGACTGATGTTGAAGCTGAAATTCCAATACTTTGGCCATGTGATGCAAAGAGCTGACTCATTTGAAAAGACCCTGATGCTGGCAAAGACTGAAGGCAGGAGAAGGGAACAACAGAAGATGAGATTGCTGGATGGCATCACCGACTCAATGGATATGGGTTTGGGTGAACTCCGGGAGTCGGTAATGGACAGGGAGGCCTGGCATGCTGCGGTTCATGGTGTCGCAAAGAGTTGGACACGACTGAGCAACTGAACTGA